CATCTTATCATAATTAGATTTTTTTTATTAACTGATAATCGTAATCAGAATCCAATCAGATCTATAATATATCTTACCTAATTAGATATGACCACATAATCTAACATAGAGTATATATATGATGATAAAAATTAGCGAATTTTGTTCATCTCAACAGTTTGATCATTTTACAATGACTATAACTTTTAATAATATTACGCCAAAACTATATTTAGATACCATCCTTTGTCCCATGAAACATATTATTAGGACCGATGGATGATAAGCAAAAGAGCACTTTTAGTAATCACTATACCAGATAGAAGATTTAAAATCAAGTGGAATCACATAGATTAATAATTAAAAAATATACTTAATAGTCGACATAATATTTATGATATTCAACATTCTTTATCCATATTTATGGAGAAAACTAATGTATTATTGTATTATCAACATTAGAAATTGATTTCATAATATAATTTGAGATTACTAGTCAAACTTTATGACTATGAAATTTTATCTCAGAACTTGGTATAATTATATTCAATTGTCAAGTTGCTAAAGATATTTTGTGACATACTATACTAATTTTTTTCTCTAAAAATGATAAATACTTTAACAGTCTTAAGCATATTAGCATAAAATACTTGATAGTTAAAGAAAAAGTTTAAAAACTAGTGTCAATTGATATTTTAAGTTTCACTATATTGATTGATGATCCATTTACTAAGATTTTATAGTTTAAGATTAAAGAATATATTCTTAGAATGAGGCTTGTAAGCAATAAAAAAAGATATGATGATGCATTTTAAGTAGATATTATTATTACTATTTTCTTTTTGTTACTTAAATTTATTTGTTCTACTATCCTGTTTATATTTATGTATATATATATTATGGTTGAATGTGATAATAAAATTGTCTTGACGAGATAAATTATAAAGATCATTATGAATTGTATTAGGAAAGATTAATAATACTATAGTATATAAAAAAGAGTATAACATTGATGATATATGGTCACTATGACTTGCATTGATAGTCAAACTTGATATGATATTATGTTTATTAGGCATATTAGTATGTTTTATAAAGTTCGCGCACTCATATAAAATCTTTTTGAAAATTTTAGCATCCAATTGGGTAATATTAATTTTAAATAAATTTTATTTTATTTTATTTTAGTTTATTTTTTTATTTTATATCTTATCAATTAATGGGTCAAATAAAAGAATGTTAGATTATATGACTTTATTTAATTAGTTAAGATATATTAAAGTTTTAATTGGATTCTAATCAAGATTATAGACAAGAAATTCATTTATGTTAGGCTTCCTCGAGAGATAATGTTGATGAGAGAAACTCTCCTAATTATCTATTCTATATGTTTTGCTCTCACTTATATATAGAGAAGCTCCTAGAGATTATATTATACATCATATGGATTAGATTATAGATCATATATCTATTTTAATCTTCTTATAAATCCTTATCTATGGAAGATAGGAAGAAAAGAGAATGAAAATCTAGTTTCTAGATTTTCCTTCCTATTAGTGCTATTGTTATATGAATCTAACTATAGTGAGTTGCTAGATCAAATTAAAGTATTCTATCATATGGAAAGGTATGTTGATCTAATCTCTAAATTATGTTATTTGATTTTGATCTTGACATTATGTTAGTCCATATAATTATATTTTTTATGCTTACATGGAATTAAAAAAAACTAAAATGCTGATTAAAACATAATCAAGTAAATAAGAAATGTTTGCATGTAGAGAAAAAGCTAAGATAGAGATGTGACACAAAAAAAAAAAGAAAGAAAGGTGTTAATAGTTAACTCGGAGAAAAGACATGTTTGCATCTAAAACTAAGACCTTTTTCTCTGTTTTGCTTACCGTGAATCATATGTGCTAGGGGAGGTGGGGGTGTGTGGTTGGTGTTGGCGGCGGTGGATGTTGGGGAGTCCGGGGATGGTGAAGACATCGACACATTACCGTGAATCAGATTTATACAGTTGACAGTTTTCTTGTGCGAGGGGCCACCCAAGGAGACATCCCACATACTAAGCCACACTTTTGTCTATCAAAAGACTCGACTTTTGTACCACTTTATAATAATTTATATATTATAAATTATGTCCAAATTGACATAATTTATAATATATAATATAATCATATAAATATATAAGTTGCTTCTTTGTGTTATATAGACTAGATTAGCATATCGTTATCAATTGGCATTTAGTCGGGTATTAACTAGAAACAAACTTTAGAGAATATATGGATTCAATAATGATAATTAAGCTGCTTCCATCCCACTCAATGGATCGACCAACTTTATCCTGTCCTCGGCCTTAGCATGTCGAATTAATAGGTTGCTTCTACTATGAAAAAGGAAAAGGGAAAAAGAAAAAGAAACGCAACAACTCTCACAAACTTTGGAATGCCGAAGTTATAAGCTAATATATTCCATTTATTTTCCCAGGAATTGTAAGCCTTGTGTGGCTCACTTATAATTTAAAGTGCAGATCCACATGACAGTGGGAAGACAATTAAAATGCTACATCGTCTCGTGTTCAATCTCATGCAGCGACATCTCCTCTATGCCACCCGTATCAGTTGGAATGAAATCCCATTTCATGCTGAAAAAGAATATTTTTACAAAATTGTATGAAAAGATGGGATAATTATTTGTACGATTTTGATGAAAAGAAGTTACTATTTGATCTTTTTCCTAATTGCGCTTCTGATAAAAAAAAAGTATGATTAGTTGCTGCTTCCTTTGCCATAATTAAGAAACTAATTTGCGTTTCCGTTCATATGAGCAGCTTGAACACGGTTGGGAATTAGTATGAGATGAGCCCTGCAGAGGATTGTAATGTGTAGATGATTAGGAGACTCATTGAGCGAGATTATTTATACATGGAAGAGAAATAGTGGGCAGGAGTTGTTTTATTGTTATTCTTTTCGTGGTCAAGACTTTCTTTGGATAATGATAAGCTTAAGAAATGAGATTTGCATAAAATGTGCAATGCCTAAAGAAGAGGCCATTCTCGTTAATAACCGCACCGCACCGATGGCTCTGCTAGTTTGTATTTTCTTAATGCAATAAATATATGTTTGGTAATCTTCATTTGTTTGCTTAATGCAATAAATATATGTGTTTGATAACCTCCATTTGTTTCCTTAATGCAATAAATGAAGTTGTCGGGTAGTTTCTGCATCGCTCGAATGTATGCAAATACTTTTGCTACCTGCAACTATATTATTGCATTTTATTAGGTAATTAAAATTTGTGTAACGTGCAGATCATCATTAATTATTTTTTAAAGAATAAATTCTCTGATACCGTGTTGAAATTGTTTTTGGATAGGTGATCATCATAAGAAAATCATAAATATAGAGGAACTATATCAACGAGAAAAGTATAGACACTTCTAAACTATAAACTCTTGTTAATCATAAGAACTTATAATCTTTTAAAACCCTAAATTTCTCCATCTTTCCTTACTCTACCACGTCTTTCCATTTTCTTATTGTTTCTAAAGCATT